GAGAAGCATTAGGATTACTCAACAAACAAGGAATAGGAGAAATCTAAACTAAACACTCTCATTCTAGACTAATCATCCTTAGTCTCCCTAGCCCATGGATTCAAAGGTGAATTACTCACTACTCATCATTACTACACTTAAACTCATGTTTGATTCAAGTTTTATCATGTAGAAGATGAGATAGACAAATAAAAACAATTAACAATGAAATCAATGATCTTAAAAGATGAACTTTCCAATAGGTTTTCAAGTGTTTTTCTTCAAGAACAAAGATAAGATCCCAATGGTGGCTTACAGAATACTTAAAATTAGGTTTTTCCAACTCAAAATAAAATAAACGAAATTGCAAAAAGGTCCCTGAAACTCAAGTTTTCGTCACACATAACACGAGCAGCGACCTGGCCGTGTCGCTCCCAGAGGTCGCTCCAGGCGCTGGAGCGGCTTGGCCAGGTCGCTCCCGGACGTCGCTCCCAAGGCTGATATAACGAGAAGGTGCGAACGGCCATCAAGTGTTGCTCCATATGTTGCTCCGAACGCTGGAGCGGCTTAGCGTGTCGCTCCCGAACCTCGCTCTGAAGGCTGGAGCGACTTGGCCTCTCGCTCCCGAACCTCGCTGTCGAGCCTCATAAACATGACAAATGCGAGCGGCCATCAGGTGTCGCTCTGATGTGGAGCGACCAAGAGGTCTCGCTGTGGACATCGCTCCAGCCTCTCCTCGACCAATACTCTCTCTAAACTCCTCTTTTTGGATTCCAAACTCCACAAAACCACTTCCAAGGCTCCAAGGGTAGTCTCATCACCTGATAAATGCAAATGAATGCAAAATGCAACCTAAATGCACCTAAACCAAATCTATATGCTCAACATGAACAAAAAATGCAAGGTTAAGACTAAGTAAATATGGAACATATCAACTTTTCAGATTTGAGTCAGTTCGGAAGACTTTATGAGAAACATTTATAAACGTGAATATTTGTAACCTCACAATTAGCACCAATTAAGTTATGAATTTCATTCATGAGTCCTAGTATTGCCTAATATACATGAATTAACAATAATATATTAAAAAAGCTTTTTAATTTTAGAGAAAATGAAAGTTTATTAAACATTGACGGAGAAAACATTTAGATCAGTTTTGCAATTGCAAACTTACAAAGAAAGACTTCTAGAGAAGTCTGCTCTACAGCAGACTTTGTCTTCCTTTGTAAATATTGGCTTACTTTTATATTTTAATTTTTTTGAAAATACCAGAGAAGACTTCCGTGAATGTCTTATCGGACATATAGGTTAGTTTTACAATTAACTGAATTGTGTCAGAAATTTGACTTTGTCCAGAAGACTTTCCTAAAAGTCTTCAAACGGAAGACTCTAGGGAAGTTTGCTCACGGTTTGGGGAAGTCTGCTCATTGTCCGTGGAAGTCTTCTTCAATAACCAAAAGGTTGACCAGAATCCTATAATAAAAATCGAGAAGTCTTCTGACGGAAGACTTTCCTGGGCGTTTTATAATTAAAATTAAATGTTTTACTTTTAATTGTCAATTGCAGAATTAAACTACGCGGATTTCATGTCACAGTTGAGAAGGTCTCTCTGAAAATTCAAATTTTTGACACAATTCGATCAATTGCAAAATTACTATGTTTATCCGAAAAGAATTTCAAGAAATTCTACTTGTTTTTTTGTTAACAAAAAAAGTTAAAAAGTTGGAAAATTTCTAGAGAAGTCTTTTGTAAAACATACATAGAAAATCAATTGGAAACTTAACATATGCATTGACCAGAAGTACGAAAGTCTTTTAGAGAAGTCTTCTTCATGAAATAGAGTTCTAAAAAAAAATCAATGATCATTCTTATATCTAATGAAGTTCTTGTTTAGTTTCTTTAAACACACATAACTTCTTAATAAAAGTTATCCACTCATTTTTGATCAAAAATCATGATCTTGAGTAACTCTCATAAGCTTATAAATTTTCAAATAAATCGTTAAGAGTTTTTTGATGAAATAAGAGAGAAAATGAATATGAAGATGTAGATGTTGATTTTAGATATACATTTAGCTTGAAATTGGTTGTTCATGGTGGCTGATGTATTGAAGACAATGAAAATGTTGTAAATAAAAGAGGAATATGAGGATGACTGAGTAAAACAAACAATTTCGAAAATAAAAATAAATAAACAATGATATTTTAATGAATAATTAAATTTCTAGGGTGAAAATGACAAAAAAAAATTCAAAAAATTAATGAATAATTTTTGCATTTGATTTTTTTTTTTATCATATTTGCAAAACCTCTTTTCCATAAACTCACAGCAATTCGACTTGAGCTCGCTGCATTCTGTGCCAACTAAAAATCCAGTTCTTCAATCTGAGTTCTTAAAAATAACTACACAAAGTTGAAGTTTAAGAAAAAACAGGGAGCAAAATAACAAGAAAACAGACTCTCTCTCTCTTAAACTCCTCCCTCAGCGGTCAGTCCTCCTTCTCTGGTCCGGCGCCAAGTCGGTACCAGAGACATCTATGTCTCCTTTACGAATCAAATGCTCCAGTACCCTTGCCCGGAATTTTTATTCCCAAATATTTCCGCCCGAAATTCACCCCTAATAAATCGGAATAAATCTTTATTTAAATAAGAAAATTTAGTAAAAGACCAGAAAACCGAAAGAAACTCGAATAATTACAAGGCAACCAGGGGTACTTCGCGGACCATCCAAACCCGAATCATAAAATTCGGATCTCCAGTGTCCATAACTTCAGAAACATTACTGAAACTTTGTGTAATTATATAACTTGGTGTAAGTGTAACTGTAATCTAAGTTGAACTAATTCACACTTGTAGTAACTATACAACTTAGTAAACCGTCAACTAATTTTGATTGTATCTTATACATTTGCAATATCTTATTGATATATTTAGTGATAACATATCGATTCAACTTTGATTACAGTTATTCATGTGCATTATGTTACTGATATATTTAGTGAAATTAAAATAAATAAAAACTATAGACACTACATTAAGGGAAATGTATTTTACATAGAGTTTAGAAAAGTACATAACGGTGCATGCATAACTTATAAACAACTTATAAACACACGAAATACTTCATCTCTAATCTTAAATTGGCCATTTAGAAGCGGTCCAATGAATATCATTGCAGAAGTCCCAAACTGCACATTGCCAGAAACAACAATTGCATTTCCACCGTGTTCTTGATCCATCTAAGGTGACAACAAACACCGGTTGCATCATTTCTGCGCACCAGCAATTATAATTGATGTTGGGATCTATCTTTTCCAATAGAGACATAAAGATCTGTGGTTTTTCGTAACCCCAATGACCTGAGGATACCTCAGTAGCGAGCATGTGATTCATCTGATCAGCAAACTCACGTGCAAAAGTAGGAAAGTTGTGAACCAGTCCTCTATCATAACCACTAAATGCTAAGTTGAGCATATCATCAACGTACTTGGCCAAAAAAATCCCCTCTCACTAGCAAGACGAATGTTTTCCTTTCCTTGATCAAGTAAATGTAGGACAAAGAACTCATACATACCTCGCATGTAGATGGCCTGTGGATTACCGGCTTGGTAGCACTTAAGCATGTATGTTCTGACAACATTAACCTCATCAATCCAGTCATTGAAGTGAATAAGATCTGCAGATTTGTAGAAGTATTCTTCTCTACCAATTTGATTGAAGGCGGGTAATGCAACTCTTGCACTACCAAAGTCCCCGAGATGGTTTGTTGCTACCATAGAGAGAATCTTGTGAAGCATGGAAGGAGAGAGAGAAGCCAAGTTAGAGTTCTACATGGTGATAGATATTTGTTTTATCACGTAAATGAAAAGATTAACTTTTTCTTTATTTGGACAAAATCATAAACCCTTTTATAATAGTGATGATCCTCAACAATGGAGAAGAGATGAGATTGTATTTATCACGGAAGTTAAGGGTGATTTGATGGAGGTCTCGAGAAGGCACGACTTCTGACTGCAACAGTCGCATGCGTTGGATTTAAAACTTTGTAAAACTTTCAATGATAAAATTAAATAACTTCTTAAAACTAAGTGTAACCGCTAGGTTAGATTGTCTAAATATATGAAACTAAGAAAACGTTTAACAATTTAGATAGTGTAACAATTTTGATAGTCTAAATATATGAAACTATGTAAACCTTTAAGAAATAAATATATTATTCATTAAACAAATAGGGGATAATAAATGAAGAGTAATTTAATTTGTGTAATAATGATTTAATTTAATTTGTGATGTTGAATTGCGTTAATGTGTATTAAAAATGGTTTTCTTAACTTTTGTAATTGTCCAAGTGCGTGAACCTAAGAATAACTTCAAGTTAACATGAAGTCTGTGTTCGTATAACCAGGAAAAAATTGTGTTAGGTTCTATTTCTCAATTGTCCAACATCGTTTGGAACCCTACAGCGAGAGGGACGCCTCGCGAGCCGGGCTTCCAGAGATGAGGCCTTTTGGCGAAGCCAAGTTTCTTTCGGGCGTAAACATTTGAGAAACTTTTAAGTTTACCAAACTTCTTAGTAGTTCAACTTAACTTGAAAGTTGGTGTTCATATAACCAGGTCATATTTTGTGTTAGGTTCAATTTCTCAATTGTCCAACATCGTAAACATTTGAAATACTTTTTCAATTGACCATACTTCATAGTAGTTTAAGTTCGCATAATTTAGGAGAAACTTAGGAAAAACTTAGACAAGCATGTTGTTTAACTTCACATAAATAACAAAAAAACTTAGACAAAATAGAATGTTTGACAAAGTCACTAGCTTTAGGAATCACTTGTACATCACAATTCGACCGAGAACTACAACGACAATGATGATACAAACAACACAACATCCTGATATCATTATCTTAGGCACTATTTGGGGACCTTCACTGCTTATTGTTGCTTTTAGCAATTGAACTTCTTCTTCTACCCTTTGAACTTGGTACTCCAACTGTTCATTCTCATCGGTGAAAGCTTCGTCGACCCATTTGAAGACGTGATTTTCGTTCTTGAGCTACAACATTTTGTTCAAAATATTTAAGAGAACAATTTTTCGATAACTAAAGCTAAACGGATGTTACCCTCTCTTTTACCGCATCGAGACACCTATAATACCGATGATATGGATTTGGACAGGATTTGGAGATGAGCTCGGTGATGCTCTCCCCGCACCAACACCTCTTAGGTATCCCCGGAGTTCTTACTCATCGTCTCCGACCACCGGTCGTGGAAGATGAAGCAGAAATAATTGGGTTCGACATTTGGGGATTTCGATTCAGAGAGAGAGAGAGAGAGAGAGAGAGAGAGAGAGAGAGAGAGAGAGAGAGAGAGAGAGAGAGAGAGAGAGAGAGAGAGAGAGAGAGAGAGAGAGAGAGAGAGAGAGAGAGAGAGAGAGAGAGAGAGAGAGAGAGAGAGAGAGAGAGAGAGAGAGAGAGAGAGAGAGAGAGAGAGAGAGACAGAGACAGAGAGAGAGAGAGAGAGAGAGAGACAGAGAGAGAGACAGAGAGAGAGAGAGAGGTAATGGGAAGAGAGAGAAAGTGAAATCTAGAGAATGTGGAAAACCGCAAAAGTAAGGATTTAAGTACTAATTGGATTGGGAAGGGGGGGAAGAGTGAGACTAGAAATTCGAAAAGCTGGTGGGCGGGAAATTGTTAGCCTAGCATTTTCGTGATTGAAGTTTCACCAAATTTGCAGTTTTACAGAAAACATCAAAGTTGTACTTTATATTTTTTTTCCATTTATCTTGGTTTTACTCTATTACAATGACTGATTTTATGGTTATACCAGTTATGTTCTGTATACTAGATTCATTTTCATTTGTCCATGTATACATAAACTCGATTTCATTACTTATTAAGATATCAAATGAGACAAGGTGAATATTAACGAAAAACATATAAGAAGACGGTGTAATGACATCATGATTACTAATAACCAACAAGTTTGTTTTTTGTTCTGATAAAATCATAATCAACACAACCCAAAATAACTCATAAAAGACCATCTCTTTCGTAACAAGTTTAAAATTTACAATCCTACTCAGTCTACCTATCGTACTTATACCAGTAAAGGATAAAGTTTCACTTAGTTGAAAAATACAAAATACAAATCTCACCTTTCAACGTGTCCTCTTGTGTTTCTTGTGGGGATGTTCATTTTGTTCTTTATGTTCCAAACCAGTACCCACATTATCTTCTTCTTCATATCCACTCTCACGCTCACCATAGTTTATACTACATGAGCTTTCATTCTCAACTCTCGATAGTTGCTCGGTTACTTGAGCCATTTCCAAATCTTGGATGTCCTCTACATGCAAAATACTTTTTCTTTGTTCTTTGTCCACCGATGTTAGATAAACAAACACATCTTCATCATCCAAAATATATGATTGTCTCTTAGGTTCCACTACCAGTGGAATGTAACCAAATTTCAAACTCTTCGTAAACGGATATATTCCCATCTTCCTGCATATTCTCTCCTTCAGCAACAAATAAGTGATCTCCTCCAATGATGATATCCTAAAGGATATACCATACAAATGACCATCGGTTGGATCCATTCATAATTATCTCCAGACTTAGAATAATGTCCATCATAACCAAAGTGTAAGTTTGTAAAAGAAAGACTCATCTGCAATTAAAAAAAAAAAAACCACTAAGTTATACCTGATTTAATCCTGGTTATACAGTTATAGCATGTTAGTTATTTAATGTTATACCTTGTTACACAGTTTTGTCAGTAACCAACTTTTTCCAACTTTTCCCAACTTTCCCAATTTTTCCAAACTTTTCCCAACTTTTGCCAACTTTTCTAGTTCTAGCTATTCATCCTCTTCAATTCGTTTCAATAGTTATCAGCTTAGATTCCCGACGTTCTATCTTTTCTTTTTCTTATGATTACAGTTGTTAATTATCCAATTTCATAATAGACACATCATTCGCACATTCCGATCCTCAATTACTCTAGTCCAATTAGAATTGTAATTTGTAATCTCTGTAAATCGATCGTGTATGGTAGATTCTAAACATTGGATTACGACGAGTTAAGAATGATTTAAGATACATACCTTGTCAACAGAATCAATAGCTCAATGATTCAGCATCCAAGAAGACGAATTCAACCGACCTAAGCGATGATAACGACGGAGAAGAAGAAAGAAACGAATCCCGCGGATGAGAGAGAAAAGACAGATCACTCACGGTTTGAAAATAAAAATAATTCAGAGGATTCTCGATTTTGACCGATTTTGATTGGTCATTAATTCGTTCAAGTAGGGAAGGGCACTTTCGACATTAACCACCCATATGGAGAGTATCAGGTTAGAGAGGAGTATGTGAGAATGAGTAAGAGTATGACAGAATGAATTTTGCCTCATTAAGAGCATTCGAGCATTTCACTCCTCCTTTACCCTCTGATTTTTCCTATTCCTCTCCTACATCTTCCTCTTACACTCAACATGCTCGCAACCCTGGGTTTAGCTGTGCTTCTCCGGAGGTCGAAGGGTCAAATCGGTGGCCTGGAAAAGCGGCGAGGTTGTGGAGTGGCTGGTGTAGGTGGGGTTGGATTTTAGGATTTAAGTATGTCGCCAGATCTAGTTTTTCGATTTTCAGATCTCCGGTGGTCCCTTTTATTCGACGGCGCGTGACCCAATGGGGGTCCTCCTCTTTCTCTAATATTTTTCCCTGTGTGGAGGTGATACGAACGGAGGAGTGGTTATATTGCGGCATCGAATGGTTTTTTCTCTCCGGTTCTCGGAAGCTTCGTGTAGCAAGGTTTCCTCACCGGATTTGTCTCCCAGAGTTGAAATGTTGCTGGTGATGCACGGTGGGACCCTACTTCCCAGTGCCGGCGAAGGCTTAGCGGTTTTGTCCGGTGGTATGGGTTCCATGCCATTCAAGCTTTAGTTTCTGTTCCGGTCCCGTGTCCAGTCGAAAAGTCCGTCTTATGTTCTTCAGGCAAAGGTGCGAGTCTGAGTCTGTTGGTGGTGGTGGGTCTCTCCTCCGGTTTTATCCGTCATCCTACCACATTTAAGCCATGCTCTGTCCCCTTCAATGTAAGGCCCTTCTTTACTTTTGGTTTCTATGTTTCTGGATTTCGGTGGTCTCTGTCGGTCCATAATGGACCAGAATTCTCTGCCTTGGACTGCTCTCCTTTCGTATGTGGATCCTTGGATTGGTGTTTGCTGTGTCTTGTGCGGTTTGAAGCATCTGATGATCCATGGTTCTGTGTCTCGGTGATTCACTCCTTCTCTGTGACCGAAGGTTTCTTCACCTTGGGGCGTTTGTTCAACCAGTCTAGGATGTTAGGATTCATTATTGTCTTCTCTCTGCCTCTGCTCTTGCTCGCTCTGAGGTTATGGTCGATGCTACTGGTCTTGGATGAGTTCTTGAGTCCCTAACTTTTCTCTTGGGGATGGAACATTTTTTCCTGCTTGGGTCTTGGCCTTTGTATCCTTTTGTTTCCTTTCGCATCTATTGTTGCAGTTTGCGGTGTTTGACTTAGGTTTGATGTTGTTTGTGCTATTTTTTTGTCGTAATTTTTTTCTTCCCGTTTAGTTTCAGTTTCGCCATCTCATACTTGTTTTCTTTGTAAATTTTGTCACAATTTTGAAAATTGGTATAATAATTTAACTTTTTACCAAAACAAAGTTTAAAAAAGAAATTGTACAAAGTTTCAACACAATCAATTGACTATTTTAAGAGCATCTTACTTTTAAAAAACAACCAATCTGTTTATCTTTTGATATTTGACCCATT